GAAGTCCATTAGGAGGCTTTGGCAGTAACCCTGTGAAAAACAACGAAAGAACTCAAGCAGAGTGGGACCCTGAACCCACACAGAGGAGGCGATCTTTGACAGCTGTTGTGGAGGCTGACTTAATGTGATTTGATAACTGAGGCGATGAGAGGTGTTGAGGAAGAAGAACGGTGCCAGTAACAGAAGGGGAGGAGGTGGGAAGAAGTGTGGGCCCAAGATGCACTTAGCGAAGATGTGCTGAGTTAGAGGTGGGAGTCTGCATTTCTGCACCGGCTGCTCGGTGGAACAGCTGAAGCGTTGATTCTTGAGAGACTCTCAGTGTTCCGAGAGATATTTTTGAACTTTATTTCAAGGCTCTTCGTAGTAGCCTGTTTTTGATAATCTAGCACCTTAGTGTTTTTGTTGTCCTTTGGTGGACTGACGTCTTGCGCAGGCTGCTGTAGTCCTTTGTAGCTGTCATTAAACCAAGGATGTTGGTTGCAGGATTGTGGATTGTACGCAGAGAACTATTAGTGTTGGCTAGTAAAGCAGAGGCAAGGGCACTGTGGCCTCCAGAGAGCTGCACCCTGTGAGTGACTGCAGACTTGCCTCGTGCAGCAAGGGCTGGATTGAGAGCAAACCCAGAACTGCAGACTGACACTGGGCATGGTTTGGGATCTGGCAAACCTGCCTCATTTTGGGTGGGAGGGCTGGCTTTGCAGGCAGCCTTCCTGGGTACCTGTGGTGGCTGTGGGAGGTGGTTCTCCCATGTGAGTGACTTCCGCTGCCTCCACCGGCTAGAGAGAATTTTGCTAAGACTAAGTCCTTCAGTACAGAGTTCTTGAATCACTTATAGAAGAGGCCTGGCTCACTGAAGTGGTTCCAGAAAGCCTCTGTAAGTTATGAGGACAACAATTATTGATAATTGAATGATGGTTAGGCTGGCCTGCTGGAGATCAAATTAATGCTACATCTGTGCTTATTCGCTGGGTTGAAAATTCACTTGGGGTTACCTATACCATCAGTGGACAAAATAAGAAAATGCTTAAGTAGGGAATTTAAAATTGCACTGCTTTCTAATTATTATCTTTGCTTATGACTTTTCTATTTATACACTTGTCTTTTGATATCCAACAAGGGATTGGTTCCAGGAACCCCTCTGGATACTAAAATCCTTGAATGCTCATGCCCTTGTATAAAATGGTGTAGTGTTTGCATGTAACCTACATACATGTCCTCTCATATACTTTGTCATCTCAAGATGACTTATACTTAATACAGTGTAAATGCCATGTTGTTATACTATGTTGTTTAGGGAATAATGACAAGGAAAAACACCTGTATATATTCAGTACAGACAGATCTTCCCCCCCAACTATTTTTGACCTGCAGTTGATTGAATCCATTCATACAGAACCACTGAGTATAGAGGGCTGACTGTAGTTACAGACATATTTTTAATTGACAGATACAATTGTGTACATTGTGTAACATGTTTTGAAGTATATATATATATTATATATAAGTTATTTTTAAAAATTCACAGAGAATGAAATTAATTAATTAATGTAATTAATAAATTAGCTTTTAAAGCCTAAGCATAGTTTTGTTTTGTTAAGATTGTATTTATTTATCTGAAAGGTAGAGTTACAGAGTGTGAGAGGGAGAGACAGAGAGAAAGGTCTTCCTTCCATTGGTTCACCCCCTAAATGGACACAACAGCTCGAGCAGTGCCGATCCGGAGCCAGAAGCCAGGAGCTTCTTCCACGTCTCCCACATGGGTGCAGAGGCCCGAGGATTTGGGCCATCTTCTGCTATCCCAAGCCATAGCAGAGAGCTGGATTGGAAGAGGAGCAGCCAGGACTAGAACTGGCGCCCATATGGGATGCCGGCGCCACAGGTGGAGGATTAACCTACTGCACCACGGCGCCGGCCCCCTAAGCATAGTTTTTGTATAAGACACATTCTCCTTAAATCCTCATACATTGTGGAATGGCTGAATATAGCTAATTAAATATTTTTCAACAAAAACATTATCTTTTTCTTTGTTGAACCCCAAGGAACAGACTTATTTATATAACTCCAGTTACATTGAAAATGTGGCCTGCTGAGGAATCATGTGATAGAATGTGATTCTGATTCCATAGGCTTTTTTGTTCTTTATTAGTGCTAAAAATGTATTTCACAAATAAGGGTTATAAAACTTCATCATTTTGAGGTTGACTTTCTAAAAGTGTACTTAGAGAAAATTGACCATATTAAAGATGGACATTAGGGTCCAAACTGGCATTTATTCTCCTGGTTTGTCTTAGGTTGGCCTACGCCAGGCTTCCATTTAGGGTTCGTGAACTTGTGGTGTCATAGAGTATGGCTTGGTTCAGGGTATTGGGTCCTGCCCTGTTGGGGCCGGGTTGCTTGGATTTCTGTGCTGTTTCTTTACCACATTTTATCAGTGTTCCTCAGGCAGACCATATGAGGCAGTCCATGCTGATGAATTCCTTGAGGTCCTGCCTTGCAATGTTCCCCTTCCTCATCTCAACTCCCATCTTGACTGACTGTCTGTCTGTCTGTCTCATTGGTTGTTTCTTTGTTCTAAGGGAGACCCGTGTTTTCTGCTTCTAGTTTGCTGTTCAGAAACTCCATGCCCTGCTTCTAAATTGCGTGTGACCTGAGAGATGGCAGAACAAAGCAGGCCACAGAGCTTGTTTCAGCTCTCTCTTTTAGGCCTGATGAAAACTGTGAATTCTTAGCAAAGTGTTAGAACGCCGACAGCTTGGTATTTTCCAAGTGAAGTAGTGTAACCCACGGGACCTTAGCTGCATTCTGATAATGACAAGTGTCATCAGTTTTTCCTTCTTAAGAGGAAAAAGCTTCCTAAAATTGAGAGCTGGTATAACCTTTATTATTGGTGCAATCTGTAGCCTTAGAAGAAGTACCTAGTACTTAATATTGACAATGTTAGGCCATCTGGTCTAGATAGCAGTATTCTCTTGCAAATCAATGCAAGCCTTTTCCCCCATTAATGTCCTGTGGCAACCCCTGCTTGGTGGGCAAGAGATATTTTCAGTGTTGGATTGCATCCTTTATTCTTTTAAGTTACCACTGGCAGAGGCATCATAACACAGCAAAGATAGGAGGAAGGTTCTCACTAATAAAAATGAGTCATCAAAAACATGTATAGCTACTGTGTACAAATAATCTTGTGCAAATGGTGTCAAGGTTTTAAGACTCAACTTTGATGGTTGCTCTAAAACCAGTAGATATCGTTCAGGCTTAGTGTTCATAAACCGTTTAAATACAAAGACAATGCAACAGATTTCCCCTACCACTGGCATGGTACCTGCAGGCAGAAGACACACAGCAGGTGCCTCCTAAATAAAACTGGTAAGTGAGGGTCTACATGTTTTCCCGGGTTTTCCTCATGTGTGATACATTTGCTCTGTTGGATTCTTTGTGTCCGGAATGCAGGGAACTCTTCTCTTTCCTGTCCGTTCTTTGATTTGCTGCTTGGTCTTGCAGGAGTTGAGCTTTAAAGAGCTAGCTAAATATAGACTTGTCACTGTAAGCACCTCCTCACATCTGTTTTTTTTTTTTTTTTTTTTTTCTGGGTCCCTCCAAGGTTGACAAGCTTTTTTTTTTTTTTTGGAGTTGCACATCAAAAACAGTTGGAAAACAGCATCTGTTTATAGTCAACATTTCCAGTGTTGGAAGATGCTGTCAGATCTAAGCCCCTCCCCCCAAGTGACCATGTGCTTTCTGGGAATTGTATCTATGTGGTCACAGTTAGGTGTGGCCCGTTTGGAGGTTGATTAGGCCTGACTGAGCTTTCCCAGTAGTTCATTGCACACAGTGGACGTGGCATCCCCAGGCAGTGCTCACACAGTTCACTGGTTTCTGTGTTTAACCATTTGACTGGGCCAAGGCCAAGGGTGCACCAGGTGCTGGGGCGGGGGAGGGGGGTGAGGTCGGAGTGGAGGAGTCTGCTGCGGCTCTCTTAGGTTTGCTCAGGGACACAGTAGGAGGACACCGGGGTGGGGCTCAGCAGCTGTATAGAGCCCATTTTGTCTTAAATGCAATGGAGGGCATCCTGTGCCTTGATGCACATGAAGTCCCTTATGCACAGTGTCCACCCACAGAAACAGTTTTCAGGGTAGAATTAGCAAGCAGTGTTATTTGGGCCCCCGCCAAAAAAAAAAAAAAACTCAAAACCTTTATACCTCATCATTTTACTAAACTTTCTCTTTGGGCCAACTCTTGCTATGTATCAACAAAACCCATCAGTGTAGAGTAAAAACTATGGTTACTAATGAGAACCCCAGGTTGCCATGTCCACTGGACTTCTTTTATTTCCTTTTGGTTTTGAAGGTTGAAGTAATAAAAAAAGAAGAAGAACTTGGGAAGACACATAGGCTTGTCTTCTAATTGCATAAACAAGAGCTTTCCCCTTGGCTGCAGGAGGATGTGGGAGGTGTGGTGCACAGTCTCCTATGGGAAGATAACTGCACTGATTTTTGCCAAAGCCTGCTTGCTTGTCCAGGGGGAAAGTAGTGAGTGATGCACTCGATGGACTTTGTGACTGTGACCATCTCTTCTCTCTATATACCCGTGATGCAAATGTGAGGGAATTGTAGTTGGTTTCACAAAAGCTGACGCTGTGAACTTTCTGTTCTGTGAACTTTCTGTTCGTGAAATTATTTTTGTGCCTGCGGTATGCAGCTTAAAAGGCACCAAAGGGTACATGTTGAAAAGTAAGTGTCCTTCCCTGCCTTGTTCCCCGGCCTCCTGGTTCCTCCCTGCCGGGACCCCACGCCTGGCTTTTACGCTGGGAATCTGTTCACCTATGGTTTGATACTCTGTGACTTTGGAATAGTAAGGAGCAGGTTCCTGGGTACCCGTGTGGACGTGTGAGGCAGTATAACTTCGTGATGGCGCCTCGTGCCCAGTGTCCTCAGCCGCTGGAGCCAGTGTTGCCTTGACTTTGGAGTCGCTGGAGTTCCATGTGTGTGTTTTGCATTTTCCAGTTGCAGCATGAGAAAGCCGAACTGGAACAGCATCTCGAGCAGGAGCAGGAGTTTCAGGTCAACAAACTGATGAAGAAAATTAAAAAACTGGAGAACGACACCATTTCCAAGCAACTTACGTTAGAGCAGGTAAGCATCCGTAGCTCTTCCGTCCTTTATCTTCCGCTTACTCCCTTGTTGTTGCAAACTCTGAGCAGCACGAGGGGAAAAGGTTTTCAGTCTTTTCTCCACATTCAGGAGTCGGCGTTGGCAGAGTTCAGTAGTCCCTGCCCATTCTCTCTCACGTCGCCGTCCTCCCTCTTTTTTAACTGCAATAATTAAGTTTCAGGGGCTGTGTTCCGATGTCCTGATTTATAGCAGGAAATGTCAGGTTCCGTTTTACAAAGCAAAGGGGGAAGAAGGTTTTTAACCACAGGAGAGTTGGTATGGACGTTCCTGACGCGGTGTCGCTGTGGACCTGTGGAACTTTCCTCTGCAGAGTTCCTCAGAACGAACCATTACATTTTTCTTGGAATTACTTGAACTTTATGTGAATGCTGTCTTCTGCCAGCTCAACTTGTTGATAGAGATATGGAGTCGTAGACTTGGTAACTCACTTGGGGCTGTCACTGATTGGTTGCAGGACTTTGAATTAACTTCATCAGTGTCTCTGGGCCCAAGTTCTCCATTTGTAAACACAGCAGGAAAGGCCAAGATCAGGAATGGCAGACTTAGGTGCGACAGGAGGGAAGTAATAGCATACAGTCCCTTAGCCTGCTGTCCTAGAGACATCGGCATGGGCACTAGTGCTTGCCTTGGGGATCCAGACTGGTTCCTCCTTTGTCAGACAGAGCTGTGACGGCCTCTGACGCTCCACGCAAGGGAGTGTGTCGGACTCAAGCACCTGTTAGCCTGGCCTCAGCATTCCCTGATGCCTCAGTTCCCACTCTGGGCTCCCAGAGTTTTGCTTTCACCAAATTACAAGAAGCCGCCCAAAATGTGTGTGTGTCTGGGTTTCCGTGTAGAGGTTGGTGAAACTCTTTGTATGTTAGGTCCTGACTGACATGACGGTTTGGCCAAGCTTTAATGCAGAGTTTTCTGATCTGTCTCAACAGTTAAGGATTTGTTCTCACTGTCAGTTCCTCTCAGGACCTTCTAGTCCTAGTGTTTGTCCTTAAATTTAGTTCTGGGAATGTGAGGTTTGAGAAGCTGGGATTTGTTTTGAACTAATACTGACTGGTGTGTGTGTGTGTGTGTGTGTGTGTGTGTGTGTTATGCTTGCATCTACCTACAACAGAGGTATCAAAATGTTATTGGGTGTTCCAAGACAATGGGTACTGTCTGAAAAAAAACTTCAGGTTTTCAAGGGTTGGCACCTTTGCACATTAGCCAGAGTAATCTCTTCTTCCTATTTACCTTCCAAATTTAGCTAAGTCTAAATATGGAAGAACCTCCTCCCCCGACACACACCAGCTTCAAAAACATTTTGTTCTGAAGGTCATCTGTTTAATTCCCAGGATAGCCAATGACTCCAGTTCAATTCAAATTAAAGCCTTCAAGATTCTTGCTGAAGTCCCTGATGCACCAAGTACAAGCTTGTTATTGGTACCTGTTAATCGAGTGCTAACCAAATGACCCAGTGGAATCCTCATGGAAGTTGGTGTTGGGAGGACTTTGCTTGGTTTTGAACATCAAGATGGTGCTTGTCAATATCTTAAAGAGCTTGTTGGGTTTGTTCGGACTCCCAGGTTTTTAGCTATGGCCACAAGGTGGAGATAGTGGTCTAGCATGAGAGAGAGGAGGGCAGTTTGATCCTAAGGCCTGTGGGCAAGAACCACAGCCTCACCATCTCCAGCCCTTTTCAAGACTTTGAGACTGGGGTCCAAGGTCACGTGTTCACCAAGTTAATAACGCTGTAGACTTGTGGACTCACTCCAGACCTTGGCAGTTAGAAGGATTTTCATAATGGAATATGTGTTCTGCAAGGACATATGCTAGAAATACAAGTCTTTGTAAAGTTCATGGAAAATATTATGAGAAAAGCTTATGCATGGATTTGAAATTTTTTTTATACCAGAGTGAACTTATCTTTCGATTCCATATTCTGTGAAGTTTTGGAAGCCCTTTGCAAGTCTCAGATCCAGGACGTCAACCCCATATTTTAATTAAAATGGAGAACTCTACCATCATAAAAAATTGCATCCCCCTTTTTTTGGGTATGCCCAGGATGGTTAAATGTTGGAGAGTTTACTCTGCCTTTATTAAACCACAAATACTTTTAGTTGATATTGAGAGGGAATATTTCTTTACCTACAGGAGGAGAGCAGTTTCTTCTGACTTTCCATGGATGTGTTCTGACCGGCTCTTGTGGTCATCTCTTAGGATTATCTGCATTCTCTCCTGTATGTTAAAGTCGGTATTAAATTTGTCCTGTATATTTTTGTTAGAAGAGCAAAGATTTACTTTATACCGTGCAGTATAGTGATATATATGTAGTATGTGTCTCTGCTCTTCTGATGTTAAAATGTTTTTAAAGATATTAGAAGTGACTATAAGAACAGTGGGAATAGGGTTTAGGCCTGGGACTGTAGAGTGGTTGGTTGCTGTTTAACGGGCAGCACAGGGTAGTGTTCAGGGCCTGGCCAGCTACTCAAAAGGAGCCAGATTGTTTCCTCTGCTTAATATTTTAGCCAATTTATTTTTTTTTTTTTTTGACAGGCAGAGTGGACAGTGAGAGAGAGAGACAGAGAGAAAGGTCTTCCTTTGCCGTTGGTTCACCCTCCAATGGCCGCCGCGGCCGGCGCGCTGCGGCCGGCGCACCGCGCTGATCCGATGGCAGGAGCCAGGAGCCAGGTGCTTCTCCTGGTCTCCCATGCGGGTGCAGGGCCCAAGCACCTGGGCCATCCTCTACTGCACTCCCTGGCCACAGCAGAGGGCTGGCCTGGAAGAGGGGCAACCGGGACAGAATCCGGCGCCCCGACCGGGACTAGAACCCGGTGTGCCGGCGCCGCTAGGCGGAGGATTAGCCTATTGAGCCGCGGCGCCGGCCCTAGCCAATTTATTTTTTAACAGCTCTATTGAGACATAATTTATATACCATGCAATTCACCCTTTAAGATGTACAATTTGTTTTTTTTTCTTATATTCAGAGTTGTGCAACCATCACCACAATCAACTTAGAAAATTTCATGACCTTAAAAGGCAACCTGTAATCTTCACCTGTCAGTCTTCCCCTGCTCTCCATTAAGCAAACTCTGCTCTACTTTCTGCGTGTCTATCTGTCTATTCTAGACCTTTTATGTAAGTAGGATCATCGAATGTGCAGTTTTTTGTGACTGCTTCTTTCAGTTAGAATAAAGCTGCTTTCACATGGCACAGTACACATATATAACATATATCCATTTTTCTTTCCTTTTCCTGGACAAATAATATGGCTAAACCACATCTTATTTATTCAGCATTTGAGTTGTTTCTACCTTTTGGTTATTATGAATAATGCTGCTATGTACATTTGTATACTAATTTTTTTCACATTTATTTTCATTCAAAGAGTTACAGAGAAAGGGAGAGGGAGAGACAGAGAGATCTTCCATCCACTGGTTCAATCCCCAAGCAGCTGCAATGGCTGGTGCTGGGCCAGACTGAAGCTAGGAGCCAGGAAATTCTTCCAGGTCTCCCACGTGAATGTAGGGGCCCAAGCACTTGGGCCATTTTCTGCTGCTTTCCCCAGCACATTAGCAGGGAGCTCGATTGGAACTGGAGCAGCCAGACTTTGAACCAGCACCCATATGGGATGCCAGTGCTGCAAGTGGAGGCTTAACCTGCTATACCACAGCATTGGCCCCCGACCTTGTGCTATTTTTTATGTGGATGTGTGTTTTCATTTTTCCTGGGCTTATATCTAGGTGTTACTTTGCTGGATCCCTGCTAACACTGTTCAGAATGGTACAAAATGCAATTTTCAATCTACCTGCATTTCACATTTAGTGGTTTAAGCTTACAGAAGGGTGATTAGAAGGCATTCAGTGGGGGTCTGGGTTGGCCCTAGTGCGTGTGTCTGAAGGTGTGGCTTCAGTTGTACAGGGCACCTCCCTGTTCTCTGTAAAGCAGAATTTCCCTGGGTTTCAGACTGAGACTTGCACTCCTTTCTAGAAAGTCCCAGTTAACTCAGATGCCAGAAGGCTCTCACATCGTAAGTTTACCTCACGCGAGAGTCAGGCCTCTGACATGGACGTTCTAATTAGCATTTATTCTTCTCTTGGAGCCAGACTCTGAATCCTTTCATTTGTGCAGTGGGGAATGGTAACAGCCTGACTGTGAAGGCCCCTGGGCTGTGAATGGTCCTGTTGGTGTTTTAAGCTTGTGAACTCATAGAATCCTAGAACTGAAAGGTGGCCTTTGTCCTCACACCTGGTGGGGACATGAGACAGTGGGGGGCTCAGAGGAAACCCAGGGGCAGGGACATCAGCTGAGTTCCCAGAGTTTGGCCTACCAGCCCCTAGTTCTGCTTCCTCTCCCTCTTAGAACTCCCGCAGAAGAGGAAGAGGCTTGGTGGGACTCGCTTCTCTGTGAAAGGCCAGTTTGGTCTGTAAGTGGCCCAGACCTGCTCACGCTCCTTTCTCAGAAGTGCAGGTGCAGGGAGAGATGGCACTGAGTGGCAGGTGTGGCCCCTGGTTCCTGACCTGGTGTTCACTCCCTAGACCCAGTGAGACCTGGTCTTTGCCTTTGCAGGAATAGAGGCAGCATTATCTTCCTTTTATACTTCAGGGAACTCAGTGCTGCTTTCCGGCCAGACAGTGTACTGTAGCTTGTGATAGGTTATGTTATCTTTATGGCATTCATTTAGCATTCTACATGCTTAACACTAAAGACAATGAATATATAAGCAGAGGTAAAATGGGCTGTTCAAAGCAATGCAAAATGGAGAAGTCTTTGCAGCACACGGTATTGGTCTAATAAACTGAGTAGTCATCAATTTGCCTTTAGTGTGATTAGGCCCTTTTTAAATGAACACTGGAGACCACTGCCTTTAAAATGTCAGGAAAGGTTTTTTATTCAAACATGGGATCACTGTGAGTCTCTTATTTGGTGTTCACATTTTCCTAGGTGATGGTTAAAACAGAACTTGTAATTTGCTCTTCGTATCAGCA